ACTCTGGTAAGGTAGGCTGGAGTTCAATTGTGAAGGGCTTTGAATAACAGAAGGAGTTTGTATTTTATGTTAGAAGCAGTAAGTAGAGCTACACTGTAGCTGAAGATATGCTCTTTGAGCAGGAGAACTGGACTTTATTCCACATTCATACCTGTGTCGAGGATGAATGGAGATGTTCATGGCAAGGAGACTAATTAGGCCATTGGAATCAGCCAGGTAAGAGGAGGTCAGGGACTAGGCTAAGGTGATGGCTTTGTGAAATGAAAGCCTTTGGAATGCAGAGCATGGGGAGGTGCTAGTAAGCCATAGAGGGTTAGAGAAGTAGTTAGGACTTGAGCTAGGACCTGAAGGTCAGATAAATTTTAAATAAGAGCAAAGAAAGAGGAGAGGGCAGGGTTCCAGGCAGGGTTTATAGTGTTAACCAAACATGGAGAGATAGGCATTCACGTGTTCTTTTCAAGAGACAGTGCAGACCAGTATGAATGGAAAGATGCATTTGTTTTAGGATAGCAGTGGTAGTTAAAGTTGGAAAGAGAAATTAAATATAGATGTAGTCTACTTTAAATGCACATTCAAGAAATTGGACTTTATTTAGTAGGTGTTGAGGAGGTATAATGAAGATTTTTGAGCAAGTGAGTTATGTGATTAATCATGTTTTAGGAAGACTTAATTTGGCAGTAATGACGTGTGGGGGAAAGACTGGAAACAAGGAGATCAGGTGGGAAATTTACTGCAGTAATCTGATTCTGAGGTCATAAAGACCTAGCCTAGGGCAGGGGCTGTAGGAATAGAAATGAAAGTACATATGAGAGGTACCTTGTGCAGGAAGAAGTGATAAGAATTGGAAGTTGATTGGATATGAAGGTAAGACAGAAGGAAAAAGTCAAGGATTACAAGATTTCAAGCCTGGTGAGTGATTTTTTTTTCATTTTTTTTCATTTTTATTTTTTTTTTTTGGTCACAAACTAGTTTGAGGTGAAGGCTTATTAGTTTTAAATATGTTGAGTTTTTAGTAAAAGTGGAATGTTCAAGTAGAAATATCCAGTCGGAAGTTGAAGATATGCTTAAAGAGAGAGGACTGGGCTAGAGAATCATCTACATGGAGATAACAGTTGAATATGGCAATAGCCGACTCCCAAACCTGTGATTTCCAGTCTAATCTTCCTAGATCCTGAAAAGGTAGAGATAGCAAGATTTAGGGGATATATTTGAAGGCATTACTATTAATTAGAAAAGTTAAGTATAAGAGATTTGACTTGGAGTTAAGGAAAGAAGTTGTAGATCACTTGAATTGAATCAGTCATTTTCTTTAAAGTGGGTTCTTAGTCTTTCCCATTGCAAGGAACTTCTTCAGACTCTCCCCATCTTATGAAGTTTATCACTCTGGTGTGGAACACTGTTAACTCTCTACCAGTTTGGTTGCCGTCTTAGTGTAGACCAGGCCTGCACAACATATGGCCTATGCGCTGCTTACAATCCAGCAAAGGATTTCAGGCAGCCTGTGAAAAATGTCAAGGTTATAAAACAGACCTGCAGCCAGGGGGCAGTATGTTGTACAGGCCTGGATTAGATGGTCCCTAAAGTCTTCCAGATCAGATTCTGTTATCTATTTTTCCTTCCATCTGCATCTTTATACCTGCAGGGTTCCGCTTTTTTGGCCACCTATGGTATATAAGTGTACTCTTTCTTTTCTTTCTTGGTCTATAAAATGAAACTACCTTTTTCATAAATTAATGAACAAACAAATTAATCTGTGACTGCATATGTAAATGAAAAAGCATTTATTAAGTGGCTACTTTGTACCAAGTGCTGGGGATTCAAAGATTAAAAAAGAGACAATCGCTGGCCTCAAGGAGTTTACATTCTAATAGGAGAAAACAAACATGTAGAAGAGAGGTGATCAAGAAAGAGAGTTCTCTTCTAGCGTTGAGAGTGGGGCAGATAGTGAAATGGCCAGGCTGCATGACTGAATGGGTTGGGAAGTTGTCTTTGATTCCCTGTTTATAGTCTCAACCTTACTTTTACACATCTTTGGGTTTCTGGGAAGGCTTGGCACTGGACTCTGACAGTAATTGATGAAGATTCTTTAATGTTGGTTTTCTTCAGCTCTACTTGTAACCTAAAGGATTGCATGGTCTTGGCTTCAGCTTTCCAATTTTAACAGTCCAAATAATTAAGGTGTTACCGTCCTCTGAGCCTCAGTCTCTTTTGACATTAGCCTCTTTGAGTTAATCAGTGAAAATTTAATTAGCACATACTATATATAAACCACTGTTATGAGGCATTATTAGTGTTATAAAATTTTATAATGTACTATATAAAGATGATTAAGAATGCTGGGAAATTTAGTAGAAAAATCATTTTGACAAATAGAGGAGAAAAGAGTTGGGCGTATGTTTGACATGCATGAATAATAAGGAAAAAGAGGAAAGACCAGGAATGAGAGGAGAAAAGAGGTTAGGGGAGAGGGATACTTGAAAATAGGTAAGGGAAGACACTTGCAAGGGAGATGGGGAGAAACAAACAGAAAGTGGGGAAGATGACGATCTCTACCATCTTCTTCCTGTTAATTCTTGTGTGTCATTCTGACTGCTACGCATAGGTATTGCCTCCTACCCCACCTACCCCAAAGGCTGCCTGAAATTGACCCCTCAGTCAACATCAGAAGCTCTGATCCCCTCAGCTGCTAGCAAACGTCTCCTTGCTTGTCCAATGCTTGCAGTCTTTGTTCCATTCTCCTAACTGGCCAACACCTCTCATTTCATTTATTTGGATTTTCCTAAGCACGTGGCAGACCTGGCAGACCTCGCCATTGCCCCTAGCCTCACATTCAACCCCACCTCGGTTAGGTCCATTGCTTTTGTTGTCAGTTCATCCTGTCTCCTCTATCCCCTTTTTCCTCATGGTATCATAGAACTAAAGCTGGAAGAGACTTTAGAGGCTATTTAGTCCAACCTTCTCATTTTTGTAGATGAGAAAACTGAGGTTTTAAAGAGTTAAGCCAAGGTCATACAGGTAATGAGTGATAGAGGCAGATTTTTAACCCAGGTCTTTTGATACCAAATAATCCAGTTCTCTTTCTATTATAGTATGCTTCCTCATCAAAGTAATCTGTCAAAAATTTACCAGTAACCAGATGCTTTAACATCTCAGTCTTGAAATATCAGAGTCAAGTGCTAAATTTAGAATATTCCAGCATCTGCAGTGAAGAACATCTTACCTCCAGAACTTTCAGCTATACAGATAGTTGATTTTTTATTAATATTAATAGTATAAATAATATTAATAGTACAATTTGTGAGCAACTAGCAGACACTTCATTTTTAAAAATGTCTTAAGAATCAAATGACAAAAATTGGATTCAATCCATAGCTCAGATTTCTTCACCCTTATCTAAAACTTTCTTGTGCCTAATTATTTTTAAGGCAATATTTTTCTCTAGGTTTTTAAAATTTTAACTATGAATGATTATAAGACCACAAAAGAATCAAAAGTGGCTTTTCTGTGTGAGGCTTTCACAAATACAGGGCAATATGGCTGTTCTTATGTAATAGAATAATGAGAGATTTTACTATCAAACTTTTACTTTAATGAGATTCATGCTTTAATGAGATAAATGCTTTTGCTGGCAATTCATGCAACTTATTTTTTTCATCAAAATTAATTTTTTATGACTGTCTATGAAAGATAGAGTGAATGTAAACTTTCTGACATACTAAACACACTCTCCAAAAGACTTTGAGGGTACTTGGAAAAAAATATTTTTCCACAATTACATGTAAAAAGCAATTTGTAACATTCTTTTTTTTTTTTATTTTGAGTTCCAGATTCTCTCCCTCCCTCCCCATCTCTTCTATTTCCCTGAGATGGTAAGCAATCTGATATGGGTTCTGCATGTGCAATCATGTAAAACATAGTTCCTATTAGTCATTTTGTGGAAGGAAACTTGAACCAAAAAAAAAAAAGAGGAAGGTGAAGAATACTATGCTTTGGTCTGTATTAACACTTTACCTGTTAGCCGCTGCTTAATGGACAAAAACTTGATTGGAGAGATTTAGTTTATCATTCTATGGAATTAAAGACTTTATAGTATCCTGCAGTTTTAGAACTTGATCAGTAGTTTTAGTCATGTCTGACTCTTCATAGCCCCATTGGGTTTTTCTTGGCAAAGATACTGAAATAGTTTGCCATTTCCTTCTCCAGCTCATTTTACAGTTAAGGAAACTGAGGTAAACAGGATTAAGTGACTTGGCCAGTGTAACACAGTAGGAAGTGTCTGAAGCCGACTTGAAGGCAGGAAGGTAAATCTTTCTGACTCCTGGCTTGGGATTCTATCTGCAGTGCCATCTAGCGACCCATTTTAGAACTAAAGGGGACTTCTTGGCCAAGTTGATATCTGAAGTCCTTTCTAGTTCTATAGTTCTGATTCTAAATCTCTCATTTTCCTACTAATGAAAGTAAGGCTTCAGAATTTTTGACTTGCTTATAAGTGACAAAGACCAGAAACGAGGCCTTTTGATTCTTAGTCTAGTGTTCTTTCTGCTACCCTATGCTGCCTCTCTCGTCAGTTCCCATTTGGGAGATTCATTAAGCCCTAAATTTATACATGTGGGGAGTGAAATCCTAATACTTATTTCTGAATGCTTTGTCATCACATGTATTCTTAATTGAGAATCTCTCAATAGACCTCCATTCATCTGAAAGTGTTTTTCTTTTTTATTTTTTTCCAAGTCAAGAAAGATGGGGAACTCTTAGATTTCCAAGATCAGGAAAAGCTCTTTACTTATTTCTAGATACACCATATAGAGATTAATCTTTCTAAATTGGCAGATTTGGTGAATTTGTAGTCATATGCTTTGTTTCTTGGCATCATTGCTTTTTTAAAAAAAGTATTTAAATGAATGATGAAACTTTAAGAAGACTTTAAATGAAAAATACAATTTGAAGTTCTAATTACATATGGCTATAATTTTAACTGTAAAATTTCTTTAACTTTTTAGGTCTAACCCAAAAGCATCCCTTCCACCAGTATTTCAGGTGCATCTGTCAAGAGGTTCTCCTAAAGATATAAATGGTATGTATCCTCTCTTGATACCCCTTAACTGTGTTCCACCAGCTAGGCCAAAGTTATCTAGCCATACCTCTGGGAGGGAGCACTTTCTCCTTTTAACCTTGTTTTGACACTCTATAGATGCATCTCTTCCCTGTCTGCAATTGCAGAGTACCCATGTAGCTGCTTAGGTATAGTAATTGGTTAAGAAGGAACAGAGAAGAAATCAGAATATGGCAACCCCATGAGGGTAGTAGTAAGTAGTATTTTAACTTTGTATGACCACATTGATAGCTTGAAAATAGATTTTTGGTTCTGCCTTCTACTTTAAATCTAAGATTTTTTTTAAATTGCTGCTTTAGATATGACATATACCAAACAAATAGAGGTAACATTAATGTATATTATAGTAAACTTTTTCATGAGTGCACATCTAGTTTTTTTAGTTGGCCCGTCAGAAATGTGATTTGATTTACATGTGTTTGTTTTGCATTCTAATATTCCAGAAATACATTTTGTCAATAGAGTCTTATTGGAATAATGTATTTGTCCAGTAGTTTTCAGACTGTTTTGTCAGTTGAAGTTCTAGAGACTCTGTGGGGACAAAAATTCATAGTGGCAGATTTTACTTCTATAAGAGCCATTCAATTTCAGGCAGAGATGGGAAGATATTTTTAAAGAAACTCAGTTCTTACATAGGAACCCATCATTAACATGGATGTTTTTTATTTGAAAATTGGCTTTTGTTAGCTTGTGTGTAGTTTACAATTGCAAAGTCAAAAGAAATTTGGAAAGTATTACACAACTCTTAAAATATTAAAACAAGTTGCTCCAGTTAGCATATAACTCAATCCATCTCCTTTTGGGCAGGCAAATTAACTTAGGCAAGTTAAATAACTTCCAGTGAAAAAGAAGATTATGCAGGTTTGCTTAAAAAATTATATATAGATAGAGATATAGATATAGATATATGTATATATATGTCACATATATAATGTCTTGCAGATTTTCACTTATATAAAATGAGTGAACAATATGCATTTAGTAAATAGAAAAGTATTATGGAATAATAGCTGGCTAAAACAAACAGGAGAAAGTGACTCTTATTCATAGAATGAATGTATTTAAAGGTCAGTACAGGGTTGTAGAGCTGACATGTTGCATTGCGGAACTTCACTGCAGCCTTGGTTCTGAACACAAAATATGCACACCTTGCACTGCACATGCCCTCAGGCCACACAACACCAAGGAACACTGCCAAAACTGAAACTGGAAAGGGGTTTCCAGTGGAAAAAGTTTAAGAAACCTTGATCTAGAGTACTGAAGAGAAGGGATCTTTTTTGTGTAATGATATTAGCATGCTATAGTGGAGAGAATCCTAGTTTTAGAATTAAAAGCCTTGAGGTCTTTGGCCTGTCTCTGCTGCTTCCTAAGTTTGGCCAATCACTTAATGGCTCAATTTCCTTACCTGTAAAATGGACATAATAACACTTTGCTACCTTTGCTAACCACCTCTCACAAAATTGTTGTGAGGATAATGTAAGGTAATGGATATGAAAGTACACTCACAAATCACTATATAAATGTAAACTTTGTTATTGTTGTTTATCATAGACTGATCACTTCTTTGGACTTGTTTTCAAAAATGATTTACTCATTCTCCTTCTTAAAGGGGAAAATTTGCAGACTGGGCAAGTAATTTTTACAAACTAAAGCATTTAAAAGTTCTAATACCCATAAAATTTGTGAGTTAGAACATGTGTCATTGCCTCTCTGCCAAAATTGTGTAAAACACATTTTGGACTGGAGGTAGAAAGCTTGTTTTTGAAATGCATATTTTATTAATTCTTCTATAGCAATGCTATTTGCCTGTTGTTTCTGAATAAACTGAAGCAGACCTACAGAACAGCTAACTGTTATTTGGATAACACCTCTTTGTGTGTGGCTGCTAGACACCCTCCACCCTGTTTGACTGGCATGGAGGTGAAGTGAGCTTGCTCTTCTCCTTTGCAACTTAATCTTTCTGCCTCCCATATTCAGCCTTCTCAGACCTCGAAGCCCTTGTTGTGTTTACAGAAATAGTAGACTAATGAGCAGAAAAAGCAGTAGACAGATGAGTGTTAGAATGGAAAGATTGGGTTTAGCGTCAGAAGAGCTGGGTTCAGATCCTGAGTCTGCAACTTAACACTGCCTGTATGACTTTAGGAAAGTCACTGAACCTCTCTGGGCCTCAGTTTCCTCATCTGTAAATGAGGGTTTTAGACCAGATGACCTTTGAGTTCACTTCCAGTTCTAAGTCTATGATCCTGTGGTTCTAGGTAAGGTACTGGGTAACAAAGTGTTTTTTTTCCTTCATCTTTACACAAAATACTGAGTGTTTTGGTTAATTCTTTCAATCTTTTGCTTTGAAGATAATTTAAATGAGACTATTCAGAAAACAAACAGCATGCCTTCTGTGTCTAACACTTATAAAATGGATGAGGTTCAGATGCGAATTAAGGAGATACTAAACAAGCATAACAATGGCATTTGGGTGTCAAAGCTCCCACAGTTTTACAAAGACCTGTATAAAGAAGAACTTCACCGAGGAGTTTTTCAGCAGTTTGAACACTGGCCTCATATTTGCACGGTAGGTTTTCTTCTTTTTTACCCCATCTCCCCAAATAAAGTGTTAAGGCCATGATACTTTGTCAGCCATATCAGCTTATACCCAAGGAGTGCACAGCATTTATAGACATTGTCTCAATGTTGGCATATCTGGAGTTGATAAATAGCAAATGTTATCACAGTGTTGCAGATAGAGGAACATAAATGTACAGAAGCTAATAGCAGTATCCATTTTAGAAAAGCCCTGTCAACTTGTTAAAAATTAAATTGTATTTTTTTTAATCAGCAAAAATTCTCCTCCTTTCCTTCATATCACCCCTTACCCACCCAACTGAGAAAGAAAGAAAAAGAAAGCCTTTCTTACAAACATGTATAGTCAAGAAAAACAAATTTCTGCATTGGCAGTGTCTGCCCCCCAAAAATATTTCTCAAACCTCTCAAGAGGGTGGGTGAGTAGCATGTTTTATCATGAATTCTCTGGAATCATTATGTTGATCAGAGTTCTTAAGTCATAACTGTTTGTCTTTACAATATTATTGTCATCGTATAAATGGTTCTCCTGGTACTGGTCACTGTACTTTATATTGGTTCATGCAGCTCTTCCCAGGTTTCTCTTATTTGTCTTCAGCACATTGTTGTCATTATATGATTTGTTCTCTTGGTTCTGTCTCATTCTGCACTCTGAGACCTTTACCTCTCTATCTGAATGTGAGTAACATGTTTTGTCATTAGCCCTCTAGAATCATGGCTGGTGGTTACACTGATAAGAGTTCCTAATTCTTTCAGAGTTGTTTTTCTTTACCTTATTGCTGTCCCTGTATAAATTTTTTTTCTGGTTCTGTTCACTTCACTCTGGATCACTTCATATAAGTCTTTCCAGGTTTCTCTGAACCATCTCCTTCATCATTTTCTTACAGCACAATAACATTCCATCTCAGTTATATACCATAACTTATTCAACCATTCCCCAGTTGATAAGCATCTTCTGTTTCTAATTCTTTGCCACCATAACAAGAGGAACGGTAACTAGCTTTGTACATCCTTAGTGAGAGTTTGTTTTAAGACTAATCCCTCAATCTGAGATCGTTCCCATTTCCCCCTCCTCTAAGTGTCAGCTGCTCCACCCACTCCTTCCTTTTTGTTTGTGTAGACTTACTTCTACTTCTGTACCCATAGTGTGAGATGATTCCCTAGCCTTCCTCTTCCTTTACTGGTTTCTTCTTTTTCTACAACATCACTCCTAGGTCCTTTGTCTGAATAGACTCCCTATATGACTGTTGTTGATGACAGGGTTCATAGAGGACACTTGTATCATTTCTCCATATTAGAATGTAAATAGCATATCCTTGTTTAGTTCTTTGTGATTATTTACTCATATTTACCTTAAAAAAATACTCCTGTGTTTGTATTTCACAGTTTCTACACAGCTCTGGTATTTTCATCAAGGATACTTACAAGTCCTCTCTTTCATTAAAGATCTGGTTTTCTCCCATGTAGAATTACACTGCTTTGCTTATTAGTAAGTTATTCTTAGCAGTAAGCTATGTCCTTTGCCTTCTGGAATATTGTATTCCAAGGTCTTTGTTTCTTTATGATGATGGCTGCTAAATTGTGTGTGATTCTGACTGTATCTCCTCAGTGCTTGAATTCTTTTTTTCTGACTGCTTCAGTATTTTTTCCCCCTTACCTGAAATCTCTAGATTTTGGCTACAACGTTCCTAGTAGTTTTCATTGGGGGATTTCTTTCAGGAGGTAAGTTGTGAGGTTTTTTCCTATTTTTTTATTTTACCCTCAGGTTCTAAAAGTTCTACAGTTTTCTTTTATGATTTTTTTAAATATGATGACTAGGTTCTTTTTTCGGTCATGGCTGTCAGGTAATCTAATGATTCTTAAATTATCTCTCAATTTCTTTTCCAGGTTAGGTTTTGTTTTGTTTTTTTGCTGTGTGATAATACCTGACATTTTCCTCTAATTTTTTTCCAGCCTTTTGACTTGTAAAAAAAAAACAAAAAACTTTTTTTCCCTTTTTTTTTTTTTTTGGTTCTGGAGTTGTTAGCTTCTGTTTGGTCCATTCTGATTTTCAGAGTATTTGTTACTTGGCCAGGGTTTTGTACATTTTCTGCTAACCTGTTCATTCCCTTTCCAATTCTTCCTTCCATAGCTCTCATTTCTTTTCCAGTTTTCTTCCTCTAGCTCTCTCATTTCATTTATAAGAACATTTAAAAACTTTAAAAAAAACTGGCTTTATGTCTTCCAGGAACTTTTTATTGAACCAAGCTGTATCTTTCTCTGGTGATGAAACAAATCTTTTGGGAATGAATTGTCCTTATTTAAAACAATGTTTTAGATCTATTTTTTAAAAAGTATTTAGTTTTCCCGTATGCTGTTAAACAACTTGCTAGTTGATCTGTGTGCTAGTCTCACTAATAACTTAGTTTGGCTCTTAGACTAGAGGTAAAAGAATGACTAGAAAGATATCAATCAGTTATTAGTCTACTACAAATTCAAGTTGAGTTGAATGATAACTTTCCTTTCTCACTATTACTTAGATGTGAATTGATTTGAGTTGCCTAAAGCCGGAGGCTGGTGTTGAGTGTCACTTTGGTATAGCTTTTAACAACATTGCCCATCCCCTCAGACTTTGCCAGGCCCCAGGGGCAATATGTTTTTTGCTGTGAATGGGCTTTGAATGGATGAACTCACTTCATATCTTTAGCCCAGCTGTCTATTTCTTTTGGTGTGAGGTTTAAAATCCAGAGAAATTAATTACAGTACATCTTTAATGAGTTTGTACAAACTTTTTAAAAATTAAAATATACATACTCTCAAATTCTAATTATTACTAATAATATCTGTTTAAGATTGCCTTTTGTGGCAGTCTTGCAAAAGTATACAAAAGAAAGTGTACAGTAGGAACTTCGTAATCCCTACATAATCCCCATAATCCCCTAATTCCTTAATTTTATACCAGATAAATAAATATTAGTGTTATCTTAGCATATGTTGTGATTTTTTTTTCTTCAAAACTTTTAGTCCTAATTTTAAAATCTGGAAATAAGCAATTTCACACACACACACACACACACACACACACACACAACAAAACAACTTTTTTGTCCAAAAATTCTTTGGGGACAAAAATACTTCTGAAGATTTCTGGCTACATTACAAGAACCCTCTGAGGATAACTCTCTCCCTCTTTCCCACGCAAGTATGGAAAGTGCATTAGGTAACTGAGACCCTCTTAAATTTGGTTCTTGGTAGCGACTACTACCAGGATGGGTTTGATGATGATATCCTATCAAAACCATATGTGGTGGGGGTTTTTTTGTTTGTTTTATTGACGGTTTTTAACATCATATTCATTTCCAAATATATTCTTTCCTTGTAACAAAGGTTTAAAAAAGGAAAAACAGTTCATGAAAACTAGCTCACACATCACCCACGTCTGACAACATAAATAACATTTTACATCCATAGTTGCTCACTTCTCTGATGAAAGGAGGAAAACTAATTTTCTTAGCTCTTCAGGTAGCTAGATGGTGCAGTGGCTACACCTGAGTTCAAATCTGGCCTCAGGCACTTACAAGCTGTATGACCTAGGCAACAACTTAACCTCTGTTTGCCTCAGCTTTTTCATCTGTAAAATGGGGGTAATAATAGCACCTACTTCTCAGAACTGTTGTGAGGATAAAAAGAGGTAATGGTTGTAAAGAACATATAAGACAACAGTGCCTGGCAACAAAGTAGGTGCTTAATAAATGCTTGTTTCTTTCCTTTTCCTTTTTCCTTTCTTTTCCTTTTCTTCCATTCTTTTCCTTTCCTTTCCCTTTCCATTTCCTTTCCTTTTTCCCTTTTTTCCCCCTTCCCCTTTCTTTTCTTTTTCTCTGTCCTGTTTAGCTTGGTCATTAAAATTATGTAGCACTTAATTTCATTTGTTTGTTTATATGTTGTTTTCCTGGTTCTGCTTACTTCTCTCTTAATCATTTCATATAAATTTTGCCATGCTTCTCTGAATCCTTTATATTCATTGTTTATAGTGCAGTAATATTCCATTGTATTCATGTACGACAGTTTAGCCACTTCCCAGTTGATAGGATACCCCCTGTTATTTCTAGTTCATTGATATCATATGAAGTGCTGCAGTAAATATTTTGGTACATATGACCCTTTTTTCTGTGTTTACCTTCTTGGTATATATTCCTAGCAGTGAAAACTCAGGATCAAAGAGTATAGACATTTTAGTTCCTTTCATTTTTTAAACATAATTCTAAATTGCTTTCCAGAATGGTTGGATCAATTTACAATTCCACCAGTAGCATATAGACCCTCAACATTTGACTATTTCCAAACTGGTCATTTTTTGTCAATTTATTTCAATTTGCATTTCTCTTAGTGACTAGAGCAGTCATTCAATTTGGTTGTTAATAGTTTGTAACTCTTCTTTTGGAAATGTTTGTTCATTTGTTTAACCACTTATCTACTGAGGCTTATAGTATTTGTTCCATAGTACCATGAGCCTCAATAGATAAGCATTATGGTATTATATGTGGTATCATATATTTTGTTCCATGGGAGTACCTTGGTGCTGCATTAGAGCACTGGGCCTAGAATCAGGAAGACTCAACTCCCTGAGTTTGAATCTGGCCTCAGATATTAGCTGTATGACCCTGGGTAAGTCACTTAACCCTGTTTGCCTCAGTTTCTTCATCTACAAAATGAGCTGGAGAAGGAAATGGGAAATCACTCCAGTATCTCTGCCAAGAAAACCCCAAATAGGATCACGAAGAGTCAGACGTGACTGGAAAACATCTGAACAATTTGTTACACACACACGTATGCACACGTACAGACAGAGGCATTCAGACCTGTATCTGAGACATTTGATGAATTTTTTTTCCCGTAGCAATAGTTTCCCTTATTTAACCAGTTGCATTAATTTGGTTCAGCCAAATTTTTTTAAAATTTCATGTAACTGAAATTATCTATTTTATTTTTTGTGTTCTCCTTTATATGGAAGTC